TTCTATATTTCTTCCATTCCCTAGCACACTTGGTTTTTGCCTCCCTGCACCTTTGGGTGAACCATGGGCTCATCCTGGCTTTTTCATTATTCCTGTTTCCCTTGGGTACAAACCTCTCTTCAGCCTCCTTGCACATTGTTGCTACATATTCCATCATCTCGTTAACTGGCTTCCATGCCAGTTCTCTGTCCCACTGAACCTCGTTCAGGAGTTCTCATCTCCGTGTAGTCCCCTTTCCTGTTAGTTTGGTTCCATTTGTCCTGGCCTTCCTGCTTCCCCCCTCCACTTGTAGCTCTACTGTGTATTCGAAGCTCAAAACCACATGATCGCTGGCCCCAAGGGGTCTTTCATATGTGGTGTCCTCAATATCTGCACTGCTCAAGGTGAATACTAAATCCAGTCTTGCTGGCTCATCCTCTCCTCTCTCTCTTGTAGTGTCCCTTACGTGTTGGTACATGAAGTTTTCCAGTACCACCTCCATCATCTTAGCCCTCCATGTATCTTGGCCCCCATGTGGCTCCAAGTTTTCCCAGTCGATCTCCTTGTGGTTAAAGTCGCCCATTGATCAGGAGCTTTGCACCTGCATGCATGAGCTCTTCTGGCCACTGCAGCCAGTGTGTCAACCATTGCTCTATTGCTCTCGTCATACTCATGCCCTGGTCTCCTGCTGTTCTGTGGTGGGTTATACATCACTGCAATTACCACCTTGGGACCTCCAGAGTGAAGCGCTCCCGCTATGTAATCACTTTCTTCTCCGCTGTCTCCTCTCTCCAGCTCATCAAAATTCCATCGGCGTTTGATCAGCAGTGCCACTCCTCCACCCCCCCCTGTTCCTTCTGTCTTTCCTCAGAATCTGGTATCCCGTTGGAAATATAGCATCTATTATCATACCTGTAAGCTTGGTTTCTGTGAGCACTATGATGTCCGGTGATGTCTCTTTGACTCTTTCGTGCCACTCCTCCCACTTGTTTGTTATTCCATCAGCGTTTGTGTACCATACCTTCAGTTTCTTTTCTAATACTGTGGTTTGGGGGGCCGGTGGGGGTGGGAGACCTGGTAGCATACTGTGGGATTCTATGATTGGGGGTTGGGTGGAAGCTGTGGGTATGGATTGTAGTTTGTGTTGGGATGGTGTGATAGGTTGTGGGGTTCTGAGGATAGTTGTGTGTGTGCTTGCCCTTGCTTCTCTGTTCTGCTCTGACTGACCTCTGCTGGTTCCATCCTTGTTTCCTTTCCTAGCTCCTTTCGCTTTTTTGTCCTCGCCCTCGGCTGCTGTCTCTCTGTGTTCTGTCTCTGTCTAGGAACACCTTCTTCTACTCTTCCAAGTTTTTCAACCTTGGTTTCTCTTGGAGGATCCTGTTCCTCACTGTTTCTGTCCTGAGAATCAGCTTGATCGGTCAGTTTCTCCCCTTCACGTACCCCCTTATTCTCTGAAAATTTACAATCTCATCCATGTCTTCTCCCCCTATTTCCGTGATGATTTTCCCAATATCCTTTCTTTCTTCCTGCCGTCTTTCAGTGTGTGTGTTTTCCTCTCTCTCCTGAAGCCCATGGATAAACACTGATTTTGCCCTTTCCTCCTCCCATTGCCTCTCCCTCTGTGACTCTGGTTCCTGTCTGTATATGGTCATTTTCTCCCTTGATTTTTCCAGTGGCTGTTGGTAGCATGGTTGTGCCTCAGCATTCGACTTATCTCCCTCTCTGTCTGCACCCAGCTGCTCTTTCCTTTTACTCCCTGACCCTTCTTTGCAAGCTGATATGAACTTAGCATAATTCATATCTCCTTCCTTCCTGTTCATCCTCTCAGCTTCATATGCTGTCTTCTCTGGTCACTGCCCCTGAGACTTGCTTCAGCCTGTTTACCTCAAACTCTAGGACCCTTACCCTGTCTACTGCAGTTTCGACTTGTGCCTCCCATTTCTTCGTCTCCTTCTCCACCTCTTTTCCCATTTCGCAGAGAGCTCTTTCTCCATTTTTTCAGAAAGCTATCCTAATTTTCTCTCTCATTCTTGCTCCATCCTTTTCCACTGCTCCTCCATCCATTCCTCCCTACCAATACCATTGTCATCTGATCCCTGATTCCTGCAAGTCCCAACCATTTTATTTTTTTTTTTAGCAAAGGAAAGAGAGGGAAAGAGAGAGAGAGAGAGAGAGAGAGAGAGAGAGAGAGGGGGGGAAGGTAGAAGGAGAGAGAGGGGGAGAGTGAAAAGGAAAAGGGGGAGAGAGTGAGAGAGAGAGAAGGAGAGAAGGGAAAGATAGGAGGAAAGATGGGAGAGAGTGAGAAGGGAAAATAGAGAGAGAGAGAGAGAGAGAGAGAGAGGAAGAGAGAGGGAGAGAAGAGAGAGAGGAAGAGAGAGGAAGAGAGAAAAAGAGGAAGAGAGGAAAAGAGAGAGGAAGAGAAAGGGAGAGAGGAAAAGAGAGAGAGGAAGAGAGAGAGGAATAGAGAGGAGGAAGGGAGAGAAAGAGTAAGAGAGGAAGAGACAGTAAAAGAGAGAGAGAGAGAGAAGAATAGAGAGAGAGAGAAAGAGAGGAAAAGAGACAAAGAGATGGAGAGAGAAGGAAGGGTTAGAGGGTCAATTCACATAAGGTGTGAAATCCTGTATATGTGTGTGTATGTGTATGTGTGTGTGTGTGTGTGTGTGTGTGTGTGTGTGTGTGTGTGTGTGTGTGTGTGTGTGTGTGTGTGTGTGTGTGTGTGTGTGTGTGCTACAGCTATTCAAGTGCCTAACAGCAGATCCTCTCACCTAGTGTGTGTGTGTGTGTGTATGCGTGCGTTTATGTAAGCAGTCCTTATTTCCCTCGTATGTACTACATATGTTTTGCATATCTCTTGGTTCCCACTGTACTGTCTTGTGCCTAAAATTACGTTCACTTCTGTATGCTAGGCTTCGCTAGGCTACCTCTCATACTAGGCTATCTATCATTAACTGCTTAACTCTCCTAAACCTCAATAAATTCTATTAAATGCCAGTAAATGCTGTTTATTCTAATTCTGATAGCTCGAGGAGAGTGACCCCCAATTTCCAGCTAGAGACTGGTGCTGACCCCATGCAACTCAAACTAGGTGAATATTACGTGCAGCTGGCAGTGGAGTAATGTTGTCGTCCATCCTGGGTCCCAGTAGTTGAAAAAGCTTGATGCTTCTCGGTAATTTTTCCACTAACTTCCTGTGGGCACTGTAGTCTCTAGCTCATCTATTTTTCTTTTTCACTCACTCACTGTATTTACTGACACATTTATACATATTTCTCATCTCCCTGATCTCGAGTCGCACTTATTCTTAAATACCCCACTGCGTTATTATGGCAACACTATTTAGGGCTGACACAACCGTTCATCTTCCTTCCAACGGCCCCCACATAGTAACTGTCACTATTTACTAAATTGCTTTTCTGTGATCACTTATATTTCCTTTTTTCGGGGCTTAAGTGATTATATTCACTCTTATGCGTGCACACGCCTATATCCCACACTCTATTCCTTAGGGTACAGTCAGAAATTACCACCAAAACACAAGCTCAAATCGCGTGACTCCTCCACGTGTGTGTGTGTGTGTGTGTGTGTGTGTGTGTGTGTGTGTGTGTGTGTGTGTGTGTGTGTGTGTGTGTGTGTGCGGGCGGGCGCGTACATGTGTCTTGCAATAAGCAATATATTGACGAAAAACTAAAAACAAGAGAGCATGAAAAAAATGTAGGACAAATGTGGCTGGAGACAAAACATCAAGAGTAGAAGGACCAGCATGAAGAAGGCAGAAAAGCAGTGTAAGAAATAGGGTTGTACAAAAGTACCCGTGTGGGTGGGTATCTTCTCATTTGGATGGTATCAATATCGGCAAAAAATTCTGGTGTCGTCCCATCACTAGATAAAATTGCAGTAAGACCAAGAAACATCACGACCAGTACACAGTCACATCTGGAGGAAAAAAATGGTTAATGACTAAATTAAGAAACAGGGAAAACTCGCGGAGGATGACTAATAAATGTGGGAGTTGGAACTCTTAGGAAAATTCCAAAAACTCTCTGCACTCTCAACAGATAACGGGAGTACTGGAGTTGAAGTCTTCCATCACAATGCTAAACCATGTAGCTGTTACAAAAAAAAAAGTGCTGGAGCGGAACATACCAAAGGCAATGAGACCAGATACAATCTCACCATGGATATTAAAGGAGAAGGAAGAGATATGGAATAAATTAAGCACTAACATATAGAACAGCATTATGCATACTAGTACTGCCAGGTAACTGAGAAAATATCATGCAATAACTTAATAAAATACATGGAACATGCATTAAAAAAAAAAACAGCTGGCGTTCAGGTTGGGCAAATCCTGCTGAAATTAATTGAATTTTATGACACGACAACGATCTGACAGGAAAGACAATGATAAGCAGCCTGCATATTACTAGACTGTCAAAAGGCCTTTGACAAGCTCCCTCATCGGACACTAATACATAAACTGGAAAAACAGGCCGAAATACCTCGGAAGGAGTGACTTTCAACAGACTCCTTTTTACATATCAGTGCTTGCAGATGTTGTAAGATTTGTCAAGAGAATAAGGAGTGAAGAAGACTAAGATGCCACGGGAAAATATGAACAAATTACAGGAATGAATCAACAAGTGAGTAGCGGAATTCAACCGCAACAAATGAAAGGTTATGAGGATGGAATCAAGAAGCAAGCCAGTCACTGGGGCAGCTTTTCACAGGTCCGGTTCTTTGGGTAGCTCTTCATATGTGTCCGTGGACCAAGACTGTTCAACAGCCTCTCACCATGCATAAGGGGAATTACCCATAGGCCCCTGGCTGGCTTCAAGAGGGAGCTGGACAGATACCTAAAGTCGGTGCCGGATCAGCCAGGCTGTGGTTCGTACGCTAGACTACGTGCGGCCAGCAGTAACAGCCTGGTTGATCAGGTCCTGATTCACTGGGAGGCCTGGTCGTGGACCGGGCCGCGGGGGCGTTGATCCCCGGAATACCCTCCAGCTAGATTCCAGGTAGGTTCACGGGTCCAGTCGTTGGGGTAGCTTTTCAAAGATCCAGTCGTTGGTGTAGCTCTTCACAGGTCCAGTTGTTAGGGTAGCTCTTCGCGGGTGTCCATCTTTAGGATGTGACGTATAGGTACTGACACTGTCCTCTCTGGATTGTGTTTGTAAGCAGGCTCCAGTGTCAGCTAAGGTCAGTAATTTAGAATCTGTCTCTAAGTGTTCGTCCTCAGGTTCCAATGTCTTATCAACCACCAGGAAAGCCCTGGCGAAAGTACTAATTGCTCTGCCTTTCCGAGAGTTTACGCGAGATGCCAGCCTGTAGGAAGCACGTGGAGATTCTTCCCGTGGAACCTTCTTTCACTATCAGAAGCCAAGCTTGGATAAGAAGCCAGAAGAGAAAAATTCACACCGAGTCTGGTAGTTAGTCAGGGCAAGTGAGGGGTAAGTGGAGAGACTGTGTCAAGGCTGCGCTTTTACCGTAGGGTATATGGCCTGACTTTAGCTAGTGTGTAAATGAATGGTATACATTGCCGACCAAATGAAAAATTAGACACACATGCAAAATCTAGATGATGCATGTATCTATTGTGCCTATATCCAAATTGGCTATATGCCGATTTGGATATAGCCCAATGATGTTAGTGCGCAAGTACTCTGGGTATCTTCCATCATTCTGCCCTCTAATGATATCTCCCAACTTTATAACTACTTGTAAAATCTGCCTCATGTAAAATTTTGATAAAACATTAAACTCGAGTGTAATATAATATTATAACTCATCCTTTTATTATCAGTAAATATATGTAGTCATTATCCCTTCTGATTGGCTCATTATTCCCTCTTTCATTACTGTATCATTTATCTTCGCAACCGTTTATACCCAAGCAATCCCTAATTATGCTATAAGGGAACTGGTCCCATATCTATAGTAATTATGTACACTAGCTGAGTATTTAAGATTAGCTAATACTGGTTGGTGAGGATACTAGCCGGTACACTAATATTTCATAAACGGGAATGACAGTTGACTGATATGGTGAACAGTGCAAGTGAATATGGTGTCTCAAAAAATCATTAGACGGTATATATTTTGAGTTAGAAGTGGAGGCTTATAATCGGCAATATATGTTAACAATAACCTGTGATTACTATTAATTCCACCATTAATGAGTCGCCCAGAGAGGGTTTACACCGAGTTAGGTAAAAGGACACAGGAGCAACTAATGTGATATTTTATTGCGGCAACGTTTCGCTCTCCAGGAGCTTCGTCAAGCCGTTACATATTGTCGGTAATTCTACCAGCATTAATACAATCTGTTTCACACTGTGTTTCACAGTATAGGTGTCTTCCACACATCTCTTTTGGTGGTAGTGTGAACTCACCCTCTACCTCACAACACTCTTAAAGTTTAACAATTAAGTAAGCTTCCCATCAACTACCATAGTACCTAAACTGTCTAAACAAAACGGACCAAAAAATATATATAAAAAAGACACCTCTCTACAAAGATAATGTGTTGCTAATCTTCTGTACAGAACCTTGGCCTTACCCACACAGTTACTCACGCCAACAAAACGAGAAATTTTAAGATGAAATTACAGTGCAGTCAACCTTTGCACAGTTACACTAGTTGTATTTCTGATGTCATTATTTTGGTTAGAGAGAGGTAGTTACATTCTTTCCAGCCAAGGTAGTGTGAGAGAAGCTAGGATAAAGGTACCTGCCTGCGTCATTAGGAGTGCGGAACATAGCAATAACGGCTAGTAAGACAGGGGGTGGCTGGGAGGAAGTCAGGTAAGTATGGGTGAGTGAAATTTGTAGACATAATTACGAGTGGATTATGGGATAGGGACGAGTGATACTTTTTTATTCACCAAAATTAGGTACACCCTTATTCTACATGACAGGCACAATGTGGAAACGTCTATAGTGTGCTGCTAGACTACTCTATGATAAATACACTGTGCTTCAATATTATTCTATCTGACATTTATATTGTGGGAACACCCGCAGTGTGTTGCTACCCTAGTCTACCGATAGTTAACATTGTGGAACACCCTTACTGTAATGCCACACTATCCTATTTGATAGTTACATTGTGAGAACACACACTTTGTTACTGCACTATTCTATATGAGTTACATTGCGAGAAGACACAGTGTTGCTACAATAATTAATATGATGTTTACATGTAGATAAATAGTTCAGTTGATAACTCAACTAAGTTATCAGATGATAACTTAGACAAAGGTGCAACACTTAGGTATCTTATTGTGGAAAAGTTTCGCCACACAGTTGCTTCATCAGTCCAATACAAAGCAAAATGGTTACACTGTAGGACAACGCGCAGTGCTGCTACACAAGTCTGTCTATAATAGTTACATATGAAGTGGGTGACGTGTCATGTGACCCCCTTCCCTTCCCTTCCCTTCCCAAGAAAAAAACAAAACAGAGAAACATTTTTTATGCAACATTTTTATACACAAGTTCATAATTTTGGAACACAACTACTCTATCATTACATTAATGAAATACAATACCGACAAGGGATGGGGTTCATCTCTCTGGGGATGGAGTGGTTGCATTAGCCAATTCAATTGAGAGGGTAAATGATGACTTGTCTAGGAATTTAAACTGATAGATTATAGAGGTATGGGTGTTTGTGGGAAACAATCAGGCTGCAGCATTAGGGTTAAAAACAGCAGTTATTACCGGGATACCTCAGGGATATGTTTAAAAGACAATATTCAAAATAAAATTGTTAGTAATGGCAAATCAATTGATCAACAAACAAAGAGGGATAGTAGAGGGCAACGAGTGACCAGCTCCCTTAAGGTTTACTATACAAATAGTAGGAGTCTAAGAAATAAGATAGATGGGCTAAGATTACTTGCAAGTGTAGGTAATATATAGATATCATTGCTATAACAGAGACCTGGTTCAACCTGAAAGATAGAGAAATGCCTTCTGAATGCAACATACAGGGCTATAAACTATTCCACACTGACAGGGTCAACAGGAAGGGTGGTGGTGTGGCGATGTATGTCAGAGAAAATTTAAATTGTTGTCTTAGACATGATATAAGATTAGAAACATCGAACACAGAATCTGTTTGGCTACAGTTTCTCGAGGGACATGACAAATTAATTTTGGGTATGATTTATAGGCCCCCAAACCTTGATAGGGAGTGCAGTAAGCTGTTATGGGACGAAATTCATAAGGCATCTACATATGGAAATGCTGTGATAATGGGAGATTTTAACTTTAGACAAATTAATTGGAACAATATGACAGGAAATCTTGAGTCTAGTGTCTTTCTTGATACGGTTCAGGATTGCTTTTTAGAACAGGTTGTGACAGAACCAACTAGAGAAAACAATCTGCTTGACTTGGTTCTTGCCAACAAAGATTCACTAATTAATAATCTTGAGGTTAATGATGAGCTTGGGGAAAGTGATCACAAATCACTTAGTTTCAATATATCATGGAATTACCCAGATAACTGCAATCAAATCTCTGTCCCAGATTTTCGCTTGGCCAACTTCATGGGACTGAAAAATTACCTGGGTGGGCTAAATTGGGATGTCCTGACTATGGGTCAGGTAGGTGATCTTGGTTGCCAATTTGACGTTTCTCAGAGCATAGTTCTAGCTGCCCACACAACTTTTGTTCCAAGTGGGGAAATTAGATCTAACAAAAATGATCCCAAATGGATGAACAATAGATTAAAACATCTCATTGGTCAAAAGAGAGGCATATATAGGCGTATCAAAAGAGAGGATGGGCAGTTAAGAAATCAATATATTCAATTAAAGAGAGATATAAAGAAAGGAATAAGAAGAGCAAAAAGGGATTATGAGGCTAAGGTCGGAAGGGATTCAAAGACTAACCCAAAAGGGTTCTTTCAGGTATACAGAAGTAAGATTAGGGACAAGATTGGCCCACTTAAGAGTAACTCTGGTCAGATCACTGACAGTGATAAGGATATGTGTGAAATTCTAAATACCTACTTCCTCTCAATTTTCACCCAGGAAAATACTAGCGATATTCCTGAAATAATAGATTATGTAGAACAGGATGATAATAAACCATGTACGATTGCGGTAACTAGTGACATGGTCCTCAGACAAATAGAGAAACTAAAACCTAACAAATCCCTAGGTCCTGATGAACTGTTTGCACGGGTGTTAAAGGAATGTAAAGAGGAACTTAGCATACCTTTGGCTAATTTTTTTAACGTATCACTACAAACTGGCATAGTACCTGATAAGTGGAAAATGGCAAATGTAATACCTATTTACAAGGCAGGTGACAGGTCCTTGGCTTCGAACTATAGACCAATAAGCCTTACCTCCATAGTGGGAAAATTTATGGAATCAATAATTGCCGAAGCAATTCGTAGCCATCTTGACAGGCACAGATTGATTAATGAATCTCAACACGGTTTTACAAAGGGGCGTTCCTGTCTTACGAATTTACTAACTTTTTTCACTAAGGTGTTTGAGGAGGTAGATCATGGTAATGAATATGATATTGTGTATATGGACTTCAGTAAGGCTTTCGATAGAGTTCCACACCAGAGGCTGTTGAGGAAACTTAAGGCACACGAAATAGGAGAAATTTTTTCCTGGGTAGAGGCATGGCTGACAAATAGACAGCAGAGAGTTTGCATAAATGGGGAGAAATCAGAATGGGGGCACGTCACAAGCGGTGTTCCTCAGGGGTCAGTGTTGGGCTCGTTGTTCTTCACAATTTACATAAACGACATAGATGAGGAAATAAATAGCGACATAAGCAAATTTGCTGATGACACCAAAATAGGCCGTCCAATTCATTCTAATGAGGACACTAGAGCACTCCAGGATGATTTGAACAGACTGATGCAGTGGTCGGAGAAGTGGCAGATGCAGTTTTATACTGACAAATGCAAAGTTCTAAATGTTGGACAGGTAAATAACCATGCCACATATAAAGTAAATAATGATTGCGAATAGGATTTAGGAGTTCTGGTTAGCAGTAATCTAAAACCAAGACAACAGTGCATTAGTGTTTGCAATAAAGCTAACAGAATTCTTGGCTTCATATCTAGAAGTATAAATAATAGAAGTCCTCAGGTTGTTCAACTCTATATATCCTTGGTTAGGCCTCATTTAGACTATGCTGCTCAGTTCTGGCCACCGTATTACAGAATGGATATAAATGCTCTGGAAAACGTACAGAGGAGGATGACAAAGATGATCCCATTTATCAGAAATCTTCCCTATGAGGATAGACTGAGGGCCCTGAATCTACACTCTCTCGAAAGGCATAGAATT